ACCAAAATTGTGTTGTAAACTGGGCAGCTAAAAAGCAGTTGCTTTCTGTGTGCCTTTGCAATGATTGGCGTTAACCCATTGTTGAAAAAACTGGTGTAAGCAAGCCCTTAAGGTATGCACAGACAGACGGTGATCATGTCCCAATATGACGGGTTATAAAACTTAGGCTGGCCATACACCAGTAGAATTTTGTTTAAGAAAATTTGTTCTCAGACATTCTTTTGACTTTTTAATAGATGATGGGGTCAAACTGATGATCAATTTTGACTGCAGTGATAAAAAAAAGTAAAAGAAGCAGGATGAAATTTGTTTCTCAAATGAACTAAATTCTACCCTTCAACCGTCCGGAGGTGTCTTTGTGCAACTCCTATAACCCCTCTCAAGTTAGAACAAATGCTTGTGTGCATGTGCATACTAGCTGTCAGAAGTACCCATGCACCGTCAGATTCTGCCTGCAAGGTGGACCATGCTTCTATGGTCTATTAGCACTTTTATAAATTAGATCTAAAGGTGCTGATGGAAATCCAAGGCACTTAGAGGAGCATGCATGATCCAAGATCTTAGATAATCATGCATGATGCTCTATGGCACCACCACCTAACGGAAGATCTGTAACAGACCGAATATTCATGTTCTTTCAGTGCATAGGGGGAGAGATGAGTGCTGCCAGTGTCACTTTGCTCAAGATGGAACAATCATGATCAACACAGGTTTCCTAATGTGCTTAACTAACTGCTGCCTTAGACTGTGGCCCGATGGTGGGGTTGGGGGCTTCCATAAACTTGAGATGTACACATCTGCAACTGCAGAAATCATCCACTCGGGTATACAACATTATTTATTCCTTCATTGGAGTGCTAATTGTGCTGATGTTGCATAATCTAAAATCTGCTCATAAGATGTAAGCATCTGAACTGACATCATCCAGTTGTAATGTTTTACACGGAGAGAATTACCGGTTTATGATGCTTTAAGTTAATTGCAGTTGAGTCAGTAAACTAAACAAGACATTCTCATGTTTGTAAATAAGCAGTAAGGCAAATATCAAAACTGACACTGTAAACCTACTGTAGCAGGTACCAGAATATCTAGAAGTGCAGTGTATCTGAATTAAAGTAATATTAAACCCTGAACGAGTTTTAAACCAATACATTCTCATCTACCAAGGCAACATTCCAAAGTACATTATATAGATCATATGCTGTATGCGCCAATCGCTTACACATTTGCAACTTCACTGGCACCAGCTCCAATCCCTAAGTGCATTTTACCCAAATTTCCTGTTGCACCAAGTCACAAGGGACAGCAGACGTCCATTTATTGGCTTTGATGAGGTGGGAGAAAGGTATTGGCTTGCCGTTCTTAAGCTTTGGGGCTGTGTGTTTGTGTTGAAAGGAGCGCACACACAAAGGACGTCCATTTATTGGCTCAGTGATGTTGTCCTAGATTGTTCACTTCTCCTGCCTTCTCCAAACTCTTCACCCTTTTGTGAATAGCCCTGTAAATCTTGACCTCAGCGGTAAGTGAAAAAAAATTAAAGGCTTAATATCATTAATTGCCCAGCGGGACACAGTAATAAAACCCTGACAGAGGTCCAATCCTTCTCTCCCATATCCCAAATGTTTGGTTTTAGATTTCAATTCTGTGTAAACAATACAAACAATACATTAGAAAATGCGTTGAATGTCCATTTTAGCCGTAAGATGAGTAGCTCTGCTCATAATTCTATATGAATCTAAGGAGCGAATCCTTGCAAACCTTTGATCTTTGCTTGATAAAATTTCAGATACCCTTTCTACTTATTCTAAGCCTGACAATAACCTACTGGTGCAACCTAGGCCATGAGCTGAATTATGAAAACTGCAATCACTACTCCACCAGTGTTTTAATGTTTAGAAGTAATGGAGGACAGATTCTAGAAACACTTAAATACAAAAGGTTTGTACATATATTTAAGTTTAAACCATTAATCAAATTTCATTTTGACTAAAATCCTGTGTTTTAATTATAATGAATACTGACAAGAGACAAATGCCAGGGGCAGCTGCTATTCTGGCATGTTAAGGAAATGTGAAATCTAAGCTTAGTATCTGCCTTATAGCAATGAAATCACAACGTGCTTGTGCTGTAAACCGGCTTTTATTTATGATGCTACACCGTGCTGCAAACACAATTGCTCAGGCAAACCTGTTCCTAAATGAAATCGCAGCAATGAGATCTGCAAATGAGACTCAAGGGAGCAAGATCACCTGTTCAAGGTCACGGGGATGCATTTATTTTGACCTGTTTTGCAAAGTCCAGCTTTATTGGAATAACATTTCCATTCTATATGAGAGTATTTTCTTGTGTACTCTCGGAAGGATGTTCATATATGTGTGTAGTCTTGAGAAAGGAGGACTGTGCACCACAAACAAAACTTTTTAAAATGCAGTTGCCTTTTTGAAGTCCTGTGGGTGCTCACTTCTATTTTGTGTGTACGTATGCATGCATTGTGTATATAAACATAAGGATTAGACATGAAAATGTTGTTTGTTCCAAATTGATATTTGCATGAATTTAGTTAGATTTGGACATTGGGATGAATGCAAATTTCCAAATTGGAACGCGTCCGAAACCAAACAAATCCGAATGTTCCTTTAACGACAATTTAGATCTGCCCGAACTTCATTCAAAACTAAACTCGGACATGTGACTGTTCTCTAGGCAACCAAGGGGGTTTTTTTGGCTGTGGGGTTGCATTACAAGCACGTCATGTGACTTCCTGTTTTAAAACTTTCCAAGACAAAGATTTGGATGAAATAAAAAAAACAAATTGAATTTTCGGATCCGAAAAACAAAAGAAATAAAAACCCGAATCGATCCAAAACAAATTTTTGGCAGGGTCACATGTCTAATAAAGATCTCTCTCTCCTTTATTTATTTATACAGTATGTATATGTATGTACAGTATCAGTGGTGTCACAAGGGGGGTGCTGCCCGCACCCGGGTGACACCATTGCAGGGGTGACACCAAAATAACTGACAATCATATTGGTGTCACCCCATCTAAAAAGTCGGCACTCGGTCATGGACCGAGAGCCCGACAGTGTCAGGAGAGAGGAGGGGACCTGGCGGCATACCTTATCCTGACAGTGTCGTCACCTCCTCTCTCCGCCGACGTCCATCACCAAGATGGCCACCAGCAGGCGTCAATCAGATGGCTGTGCATGCGCAAAGACGTCATCACGCACGTGTGAGGTGTCGTCACCACGCGTGGACCGGGTGACACCCTGGCTCGGGACGCCCCTGTACAGTACATATATATATATATATATATAACACACACACAGTGTACATACACACACACACAGTGTACATACACACAGTATATATACACACAGACACACAAACATTTGTACTGAGAATTGATGCACATGATGGATATATAATGTACAATGTAAGATGTTTCCACATACAGATCTTAAATAATGTCTTTGCAGCCTCAATCAACAAAGTGCAGGTCTCAGGTATGTCTTTGTTATTGAGAAAGTGATCAGTCATATGAAATAAAATATAATGCCAGTGCCTAAGAGTCATTACACATGCCACTAAATACCTTTAAACTTTGAAAAATGATGCATGGTGTGCTGATATTTCAATACATCACCTACGTAGCACTGCAATGGTACACTAACAACACGGGCAGTATTCGCTCCATACTTAGCCGCAGTGTTTTGGAAGGTGATCCATAGCCTCATACAGATCTGGAGTGTTAGCACAAGCTATGTAGACTATGTAGCTGTTTTCCAGAGCATATATTATACAGGGAGCAGGAGCTGAGCATGCATTTCTTCCAACTTGCTGCTGAATTTATACATCACAATGGCCAATGTGACCGCAGAAAAAAATGAACCCTTATTACACTTATCAACCAGTTTGCAATATAAGCACCCATACTGATCAAAAGATATGGAATCTGCATAAGATGAAATCTGTGTGTAACAAACGGACTTTGGTTATCACATTGTAAAAAAGAAATGTAGCTGCCATTCTGAAAGCTTAGCCGGTGAATACACGGTGGCCTAGATTTTCCAGAAGTGTTACCTTGTATTCTCTCTCTGCATTGTAAAAGAATTAACAAGATGCACTTCGCTAGAGTGAGATTTACGCTTTTTGTGAATCTAGGCCATTTGGATGTTATTCTGAAGACATTTAAAGGCCTGTTAATTCTGAAATACCAGACATTGCACTCTCAACGGTATCTTCGTTTGCTCACTCCATAAACATCTGCATACCATATACACTTTTACAGCTGTAATACTGTATACTGTACTGTGCCATAGGCAGTTTAGATAGTTAAAGGAGTGAAAATCACTCATCCTCATAGTTCGAGCCGACGTGTGACAATGAAACTGTTACTGGTCGGCTCAATAGAGCGAATATGTGAGTGAACACATACCGTCGCTCGCTCACTTCTCAATCATCTCCCTGCAGAGAGCATTCACTGTCACTCATGGCTCCCTGCAGGGATTCCCCCCTCCCAGCTCCGATCTTCCAGCGCTGACTGGAGGAACGGATGAGGGAGAGGGCGGGTACAGCTGGCTCTGCCTCTAGATAGGGTTTATTATAATAAAAAGTGTCTAAGGCACTTTCTATCACAACTGGTGCAGTTGCCCGTAGCAACCAACCAGCTTCTATCTTTTATTTTTTCCCCACACAGCTTAGAAAATGAGAAGTTAAAAGCTGATTGGCTGCGCTCCAGTTGATCCCAAGTTTGTCTCGGGCACATTTTATTAATCTACCCATTATGTGCAAAGTTGAAGACATAGCTTTACAACTGCACAAGATTGTTAGTGACAATGGGGTAGTGTAGACATTCCATCATGGTTTTGCAAACGTCACAGTAGTTTCAGAGGTCTGATTACACAGGAGATATAAGATTTGTTTATTTTTAGTGGTCCATATCATGTCACAGCAGTAACATTACACCAAAAAATAAAAGCTTACGAACGGTCACTTACTTGTTCTGATGCCGTGCGCCCTTGAGATGTGCATGATACTGCTCCACCGAATTTAGTACCATATTGCATTTGTTGCAAGAATAGCTACTCCGTAATGCTGCAAAGAGATGAAAGCAAAGACAAAGATTAAAACCATATAAACATATATCATGGGAAAGAAACAACATTAAAATAATCTCTGTTCTCTTATTGCAGCTTTTCCTACCAGTTTACAATAAACATGTGAAAATTATTAGATGCAATTATTTAATGGCAGGGGCAATGCAGTTACCATGGTAAAGTTGTATTCACGAGGAAGATATTTTCATGTCTTTACTAATTAGAACTTTTTGTGCTCACCTTCTTCAATATCATTCTGCAACATAATTAATAACATTTGTGTCTTAATAAAATATTCTAAAAAATGCACTCAGGTCCACTGACCCAACCCACGGGTACGTTCTCTCTCTTCTAATTACGATTTCCCTTATTATTAGGTCCATGAGAAACCTACTTAGCACTTGGAATTGAATATTAGACAGAGATCTAAACTGGTGCTGTGTAAAAGTGCAGGACTAAGCAAGAATATGGGTTTCAGTTATATACATTTGTAAATCCGAAAGCCACATTGCCATGTCAATTGGCCGCTACAAAGTGCGATCCAATTCTAATTTATGTGGGGGATCATAAATCTAAATAAATAAAATCTAAGAAGCCCAGGTGCATGCAGATCTGCATCTTTATCTATAAACATCCTTAAGTCATATTTAAAATAAAAGATTTATCTACTTATATTTTATTCCACTTTCTGGTATATTGAGGCACTGATGACACAGCGAAGGCCTCACAGCTGACCCCCCTGGAAGCCTAAGCTACTAGTTCTTCCTGGGGAGATCTCAATTGATGAAATCTCACAAGATCTCGGAGGGAAATGGATTTCTAACAAACCATACCAGATCTTGTACAGTGCATGCATGAGGTTTGTTGCAGTTATCTATCAGCCAGCACAAAAAAGTAAGGAAAAGGAAGCTGGCCAACAATTATGTTTTTTTTTAAATGGCAGCTAAGGTTCCCACCCAGGGGTTGATGGATTGTTGAGGTTGTGGAAAAATTAGTAGGAAGAAACTGTATTGGTTTTCCTACATAGATTTAATTTGGGTTGTCAAGCTTATTAAAGTAGGAGGAGAGGGGGACCCCTTTAATTCCCTTTATACTCAGGCCATGAAGGACAAGTTCACTTTAATGCAGCTCTCTAACAACACATATACTTACCTTACTTTTGCTCCCTCCCCGATCTGTTTAGCTGCTGGGAATAAATGATTAACCCTGCATAAGCTAAACATCACTGGAGTCACAGGGCTATGGACTCCCTTGTGACAGTACTGTCACATGAGTGAGTTGCATGCTCCTCCATACCTGGAAAGAGTAAAGAAGAGTTAGGTGAATGCTACTTGGAAGGAGGAAGGAGGGGGGCTAAAGCAAACCTGTTCTTTGCCCTGAGGAAAAGAGACAAAATATTACATCTAAATCTTATGCTTCATTTTAAACCTTCCCAAGGACCTTCATTCTTTGTAAAAATGTCAACAGACCACCTTTAGAAATGTTTAGTAATGTTCAATCTACAAGCAGATACTTATATATAATTACAAGCTTTTCAATCTTTTCTTCCCCATTCTTTTTACGTTGGCCTGTTTCACTAAGGGGGGGGGGG